AATACAAACAAAGCCCTTCTCTTCTCCTGTACTGTTTCTCTGCTTCAGTTAGGCGAGTAACCCCTAATTGCATTGGTTCACGAAGTGCTAAAGCCATAGAATCAAGGTTCTGAAAAGAAGGATCCAGTCTAATAGAACATCTACGGGTTCTAGCTCTGGTATTTTGACTATATCTCTTGTGCGTTCATCTATACGTGAAATGAACAAAATCAGGTCCTCTAGATTCTCAGGAAGGTCTCTGGTGGCCACGTCATCTAAGATAGCATCAGACAAACCGTTTAGAAAAACGTCCATAAATGCCTGATTGTTCCACTTAAAGGACCACTCTAGGCACCCAGACCACTTCAGCTTAATGAAGTGGTCTGGGTGCCAGGTCCAGCTAGGGTTAACCCATTTTTTCATAAACATAGCAGTTTCAGAGAACTGCTATGTTTATGAATGGGTTAAGCCTTCCCCCTAATCCTCTAGTGGCTGTCTCATTGACAGCCACTAGAGGCGCTTGCGTGCTTCTCACTGTGATTTTCACAGTGAGAGCACGCAAGCGTCCATAGGAAAGCATTATGAATGCTTTCCTATGTGACCGGCTGAATGCGCGCGCAGCCAGCCGACGGGGAGGAGAAGAGGAGGATTGGAGAAGGAGAGCTCTCCGCCCAGCGCTGGAAAAAGGTAAGTTTTTACCCCTTTTCCCCTTTCCAGAGCCGGGCGGGAGGGGGTCCCTGAGGGTGGGGGCACACTCAGGGCACTATAGTGCCAGGAAAACGAGTATGTTTTCCTGGCACTATAGTGGTCCTTTAACCTCTGCAGCCAAGGATCAGAATTCTATTTTAAATATTCTTTATTTAAATTTTGTCATACAAAATACATATAACATTGACACACAAGTATATTTATTCATACATACAACATTATGCCCGTGTGGTAAAAAAAAAACTGAACAGGGAAGAGAAGATTCCATATTTTCTTTTATATGATTTGTCTAATTCTAAAGTGCATATTTTTGATTTTATTTAATGCCAACATTTTATCAAGACATTTCTCTTTCATTGTTTTATTTCTGGCTGAAGAATAGTTTCTCCAACATACCCCCAGTTCCATCTTTAGTTGGTAAATTAGCTGTTTTGCCCATTGACAATGACAAATTTCTATGGGTTATTTCCATTCTCTCACTATAAGAATCTTCACAGCCAGGAAACTGTGTGTAATCAAATAATTCTTTGAAGTTGCTAAATCAGGCCAACCCATATGAAATAATGCTGTTATTGGGTTTTTATCAATTTTAATCTTATCAATTTCATAAAGTATTTTATAGACCTGGTACCATATTGTTTTAATTGTTGGGCAACTCCACCATATGTGAATATAGTGTCCAACCGCCCTCAAGCGTCTCCAACATATATTTGAGACACTGGTGTCTATTTTATTTAGTCTGGACGTCACTAAATTCCACCTATTACTTACTTTGTAGAAAGTTTCTATCAAATTTATATTATGGACATTTTCCTTAACTCTCACTAGTATTTTAGCCCCAGGCACCAGCATCCATGTTAATATTGCACTCCGTTTCCCATTTTTTGTAACAGTGATTTGTGACATTGTTCTAATCAACATATAGCATTTTGATAAGAGTTTAGACATTTTCATTGGTGCAAAAATTTGTTTCATACAGATGGCGTTTTTAATTTTTCCCTCTTCACAATTTTTAAAAACAAATGATTCAATCCTCAAGTAGATCAACAGGTTGTTTTGCTATATTGTATTAATCCTCATAATAATTCTTGAAAATTTAGGCTATATCTTCAGGATTTTTATGTTCTATCTAATCTTTTGTAATGCCTATTGTTCCCAGTTTTCCTTCTCAGCTTATTGGTTAACCATTTTGTTATTTTATTATCTTGGTGATAATTCACTTTCATTTTTTCTAGATTTTTATTCATTTGTTCACTTTCTATATAATGAATTTTTTTCTCTTAGTTCTTTTAATTGTCTTATCGTTTCGATTGTTAGAAGTTTTTTATTTTTTTTAGCTAATTTGTAGTAATCTATATATAGTTCTTCCCTTGAGGCCCCTTTTTCTTTATTTATGCTGTCTTTTTCGTTTTATCAGGTATCCTCTCACCACAACTTTGAAGGCACACCAAATTATTGAGCAAGACATTTCTTCAGTTTTATTTTCCTCAAAATATAATTCTATTAACTTTCTTATTTGATTTTTATGTTTCACCTTATAGAGGATACTATCATCCAAACGCCAAGTGTTAAATGGTTTATATTTCTTTTTATCTTTTAATACAAACAGATTATAACCATGATCCACCCATGGGTTCTCTTTTATTATAATGTTTTGAGTCTGTTCTACTAAGCTATTCTCTCCCAAAACAAAATAAATTCTAGATAATGAATTATGTACTCTAGAGAGGTGTGTAAATTCATTTTCACCTGTATGGTAGACTCGCCTTGTGTCCAACAAATTGTTTTCTCTCATAATATTTCCCAATATCTTAGATTGTTTCTTTATCTGTTTATTTTTTTGTTATCCTTAGTTTTCTTATCTAACTCCGTGTCCTGGACACAGTTAAAATCCCCTGCAACAATTGTAGATTATGCTAACGTAGTGTACCTATAATCTTAATTTTAATAATGACAGGAGGCTAATATTTTGCATAACTTTCTTTACTTTATGCCTCCAGCAGCACAAATCAATCAATAAACTTTAAACCAATAAGTAACAGGCATCACATCCATATATAAAGCCCTGACAGACACATGACTTCCTCTTTCTTTGATGCAAAAAACAGTCTATTATAACATCAGGGAATTCAAATAACAGTCCTGAGTAACGTGTAGCACATAACTTGAAACGAAACTTGAAACCTTCCAGTTTTATCTTGTCGAATCCATCTACGATGATTACGCTGAAAAGAACAGAAATACGTGAAAGGTGATGGAAACCAACTGTTGTCCACATTTAATCCAGTACTATACGTATCTATATTTATATTAAGTTAATATACTGAAACATTAAACAACCATAGTATACTTAATAATTAACACGGATCTAACACGTCAACCAGATAAGCATCCCATAAATATACTGAAATACCAAAACGTTATACACAGAGAAAATGAGAAACCAGAATATTAAAATTTTCCAGAGTATAGGGAGGGAAACAGGGAGGGAAAATATTCGCCTCCTGTCATTATTAAAATCAAGATTATAGGTACACTACGTTAGCATAATCTACAATTTTATCACATGACAGGAGGCTTCATATTTTGCATTTTTAAAGATGTGGTATGAGTGAGAAAGATGCGTGTGTTGATGAAAATAAATACGGAAGTAGTCTATCCATGTCCAATTTGTTGCTGTAAAATATAGAGGCCCCCCGTGAAGGTCTGAGAAGTAGCCGCGTCTCGTACCGAATGAGTACCCAAAACACGTCTCCACCCCCGCTAGCGATAACAACCAATGAACCCATCTAGACAACCCATTCATGGTAACTGGCTTGTATGGTTGGTATAAGACCAGCAGATGTCCTGAATGTGACAATCTAAATGTTGTCGTGATCTCCATGTAACAAAGTACCGCTTTAACTGCACAAAGACTGGGAAACCGCCGGGAACAGGATAAGATATGGACGCGGATAAGAGTTCATTCCTTCTGGTGATACCGAAAAGATCGTCTACGTTGAACTCCAGTACATATGACACCCGACGAAAAAAACTAAAAGTAACGTGACTATGGCTGATGGAGGGATAGGTCCGTGTTATCTGACTAGTTCCAAAAGAACTAAATCAAAGTCCCACAACAGTGATACTTTGACGCATAGTTCTGGACAGTTTGATACCCCACAGAAAGCGGCATTTCAAAGGCTCCTGATCGACCGGAATGTCGTGAATCGTACTATGCATCGTCGAAATCGTGGAACGTATCCCGTTAATGGTGAAAAGGTATGATAAAGATTCAGCATCGAGGAGATAGAGGTAATAAAGGGATCACAGTCCCTTCCCATACACCAGCGAACTCCAGGTGTTCCATGCGGATAAGTTATTTCGGGGAATACCTGGTGTCCATGAGTCCCATAATAGGTCTCTAGTTGGTTGCGATAGTCCCTTGACATACCAGTCTCCTCTGAAAGACACCAATTCACCAACTCCAGACGCTCCTGCATTATCAATGGATGATGTTCTCCTTTTGGATCTGCCCGAAGGCAAGTTAAAACTGAAGGAGCAGAGGATGATCCCGATTAGAACAACCATTCTGGGTGCAATGCTTGACTCCTTTACCGCGGTAATGAGTACTATCGAAGTCTTCGCTATTCTGATCCCAATTTTCTAGGTGTGTCCGGATCTCATGCAGTGAGTTTTCAGCCACTGCCTGGCCCGGTAGTGAAGCGGTCCTGGGAAATAGTTAAAGGGTTATGGTGCCTTTCCGCCGTACCTGTCGAATTTCCTTACGAATCGTCGCTATCAATGATGTGGGAAGGTGTAATCCGCCCAAGGTGGAATTTATTCCGAAGTAGAGGAACTGAATCACTGGGATCGAACCGACTCCTCTCTGTTCACTATGAATCCCAACAATTCCTGAAACTGTAAACATAAATCTCGTTTGTAAACGTAGTCAGGAATTGGATTGGCAAAAGGTCAGTAAGTCGTCTAGGTATGCGACAGAGGATACCCTTTGCTCTTCAGTGCGCCGTGACCGGTTTCAGAAACTTCATGAGGCACCATGTGATCCAGTAGGTAAGTGCCCTTCAAATCCAACCTTGCGAACCTCTTTCAAGGAGTAGATTCCCTAATGGATACCTTCCTTCTTGAGTTGTCGGTACGCCCCCAAACCATTGGGTTGGCGTAGGTTGATGACTGGGCGATAGTCTCCTGTCTTCTTCTTTACTACCAAACCGTTGCTGAGATAAATGGTTCTCCAAAAAATAGTTCGTCCGCGTGAGGTCCTCGCGCTTTCGTCCCTAACTTCAATAGTTTGAAATCCATCTTTAATCGGGCTGCTTTGCGCCATCTGTGCACCTGTCTGCCTTGCATTCCCAAACCTACATATTGCCCTTTGCACCCATTACCTCACATTGTGAGCTTCTAGAGGTGAGTCTTGGGTGGGGTCAGGTCCGTAAAGTATAGAATTTTTTCCCGGGCCTGATCATGTCCAGTATTTCATCCTAACTCATTTTGAGTCCTTCTCCTACACCTTTACATGGACCCCGGTCTGATGGGGACATAAATATCACCACACTGATACCGAGCTCCATGGGGGGACTATCTTGTTCCGTCATAGAGGGCGTGGGCATTCCACCCTGAGCTTGTCTCTGACTTCTTTTCCCATAGGCCTCCTGAGCCAGAAGTGGGCAAAGTGTGCCCGGTGCTCCGGTAAACCCCATTAGGATGACCTTGGGTGTCAGATGGTGCGTGAGTCAAAACAAAGAGTGAACAGTGTGCCAAAGAAAAACCTTTCTTTCTAGGTGGGTCTTGTCACTTTACCTTTTCAGATGGAGACTCTTCTGCTCTCCATTCTTTCATGATCTCCAGAGAAGGGGGAGCAATGAAGTCCTCGTCCCCTGACAATGGAGCAGAGATGATTAATGGACAGGAAGTTCTGAGAGACGGCTCTGCTAAGTCGGGGGGTTCCCTTTCCCCTTTGGAGAAGCCATGTTGGAGCCCTTCCAATGGTGCTTAGGTGATAAGGTGACCGACCTAATGTTGTCGGTATCTCTAGCTTCCATTGGTGTTGGTGCCGTTGCACCTGCTCTGTCGGATGGGTTGTTAGCCAGCATATTGGAGAGGACTTCTTCCCCCCAAGCTGCCATGGCGGCCTTAATCCTCGTCTGAAAATCGGTCGTGGATATTGAAGGAAGTCCGACATGTTGGTTCACACCCTTTCGGTCTGTGGGAGACAGGATTGTACAACAGTACACTTGCCACTCAGTGGGCCTCTGCGTATAACTGGAGTCACCCAGAATTTTGATCAATCCGTACCACTTTCGCAGGATCCGGGGAGTGGTCTGAGAATGAGGACACCCTCAGTAAGACCGGGATGAGCAGTCTGCAATTTTGGGACGTATCCAGAGTATGGGAGACGTGAAAGCCTCAATATGTATAATCCAAGGGGTTCATCCTTATATGGCCTAGAATTGTGGAGTTTTGGCAGCACTGTGAGTTCTCCTTCTCGGTTAAGGGAACGGCGAATGGATCCCCCAGTTGAAGCATAGAGGTGTCTGAATACATGCATCTAGTGCGCCCTGGTCTGTGCATACAATGACAGAACGTACTCTGAAGGTAGAATCCCTAGAAAGGGCGCGGGGGATCACCCTGTCCGGCAGGGGGGTCACCCCTTTGTACCTATGCCACTAGCTCCGGAGTAAGACTCGCTTGGGGGTCACCCAGAGTAGGGGGCCACTCCTGTATGTATGTCTCTTATGGCATGTTGGGACACTCTTTCAGTCTGTGGGGTACTGAACAGGTGTCAGGTATGGTAGTACACTTATTGCCACTTAGTGGGCCTCCACGTACGACTGGGGGTCACCCAGAATTTTTTCAATCAGTGCCACTTAGAGATTCCCTGGGAGTGGTCTGAGGAGGGGGTCACCCTCAATAAGACCGGGATGAGCGGTCAGTAATGTCGGGACGTAGCCTGTGTATGGTGAGGTATGGTAGCCTCCAAAGTATCCAAGGGGTCACCATTATGGGATATAGTACTGTGGAGAATTGGCAGCACCATGAGCTCTCCTTCCTGGCTCTGTCGATATACATGTATCCAGTGTGTCCCGGTCTGTGCATACAGTAACAGATCGTACTCCGTGGATAAGAGCCCGTCCTAAGGCGTGTGGGTTCCCCCCAGTTTATGTATGTCACTAGTACTGGAATAAGATTCGCTTTGGGTTCACCCAGCGTAGGGGGTTCACCCCAGTATTTGTATGTCACTAGGACAGGAACCAGATTCGCTTGGGGGTCACCCCTGTACCACAATGTCACTTTGGAGAGGTGTCTGCCATGCTTGGGGGTCACCCAGCGTAAGGGGGGGGTCACCCCTGTTAATCATTCCATTATGTGCCTCCACTTCTGTGTCCTGGGAGGTGTATCCCTGTGGGAAAGGAGTGTATCCAGTGGTTGTGAGGTCCAGTGGGAGTAGGAAGCTGAGTAAGTTATCAGCTCTATTTAATTTCCCTGCCAGCAGATAGAGTAATGCATCCACTATATGCCCAAAGCAGGGAACAGTCTATTCATAATCCTCCAGACGTACAATAAAACTGTTATTCAACATGTCAATTGCATAGAACAGAATAGAGCAAACTGCCAGCAGACATGAGTACTGCATCCAGTATATGCACACAGCAGGAATCAGTCCTACATATTCATGCAGAGTTACATATAAAACTTTTATTTCACATGCCAATGAAATATGACAGTATAGAGCTCAGCAGTGAACAGTCCATTCATAATCTTCCAGAAAAGGTACATATAAAACCTTTATTCCACATGCCCATGATATGTATTAGTATTGAGCTCAAAAGTATTTGTAAAACTTTTATTTCACAGGAAAATATTTTAAACAGTACAGATCTAGCTGCCAGTTCATGGGAATCACGAACTGGCTAAACGACATGGCCGACGTGAATCTCACGAGTGGCGCGAGATTCAAGATGGCCGCCGTTCGTGCGCAAAAGTGCCGTGTGGCCTGTGATCGAGGATACGATCGCGGCCCGCCGGTATGGAACAGAGTCCCCCCTAACCCCTAACCCTGAGAGACCTGCCCTGTAGTCCCAGCACCAGTGAATAAAAAAGTGTGCTCGCGGTAAAACGCAGCGATCGCGGTAAAAAACGCGATCGCTGTAAACCGCCGCAATTCGTGCGAGACCAGAGTAAAGCATAGGAAAGAAAAGGTGCCAGCAACAGAAAACCAAACAGGCTAATAAAGCAGAAAATACAGGGTTAATTCGGGGGAAGGGTACAGAATATCACACTATACAAGTCCAAATGGAAGGCAAGTGCAAAATAATGAAAACCATTTAGGTCAAGATGCAGGACAAGCTAATAAAGTTTAACTAAAGTGGTCATGAATATCCAGAAACATTTTGGAGCAAAACTGTATGTCTAGCATTAAAAATCTAACCAAATTGACCATAGAAATATTAATAAAAACAGTTGGAGCAAACTGAAAGTCAATTAATAAAGTTTAATTAAAGTGACCATTGCAATATCCAGAAAACCAGTCTGGATTAAAGCTGAGAGGGCGTGCCCCTCCCCCGTTTGCTGTCTATTGTTCTCCAGCAGGGCATTGTCCCAGGGACACTGCCAGACCAGTTGGAACTTGCTGTTTTGCCCCTCCTCTGTCTCTCATCAGCCCTTGCTATGGTTTAACCCCATGGCGATTTGACTGTGTTCGTGGGATCTGAGCGCTGTTAGGAATGATGTATTTTTATGTGTTTTTACTGTTGTTGTAAATGTTGTAAATGAAGATATTGTCTGTATGCTGGAGATAATTGGCTTACTACACCCAAGCCATGCTTGCAAATGGTCAAAAAGCGACTTCTAACTAACTTTTGACCCACTGGACCAATTTGTATGATTTTGACATATGTTTGTATTTGGAGTATGCAGATTCAATGTAAGTTTATGTGAATGCGAGGTATACTTTTAGAGTTATGAATATTGTGTAAAACTGTATATTTTCCTGCCTGTGATAATTACTTTAGCCCATTGTGTTCACTAATTATATCACAGGCAGAGAGGAGGATTTCTACTGTGTCACCTTCCATAAAGGGATAACCGCATACATCCTCACTTAAACATAGAATGACACAAGGCCTCCTATTAGTGTAACCTCTATCATTATTCTCCATAATGTCACTAGCTGAAATCTTCTATAAGATCTCCAAGCAGGGGTTTTAAGGGATTAACATGGACCAGTGCTTAAAATAGTATTTATTTACAGATCCTTTACCACCTTTTATGAGAAGAAAAAAAACCCATATAAGTCTGAACAGAAGACTGTGGCAAACTTAGACTTGATATTAAAAAGCAGACTTTATACCTATTCAGGTTTATAAATCACCCTTTAAATAGACACACCTATTCGTGAATAAAATTATATTTCTGTGTGCTACCTTTATTATGTGTATTTCTGTCTTTTCCCTTAGTTATATCTCCCCTAATCCTCCCCCACCCAATCTCTTTTTCCAAGTGTCAAGTGTCTTGGCTATCTTATTTTTTAACTTCAAAGTGAGAAGTGTTTAAATAGGTTTCATTTTCTCTCTTGTCTAACCATTAAAAAAATTCTAGTATTGGTTTTAACGTATTTTGTATTTGTGAAAACTTCCCCATTTACTTCTTATCTTTTCATTTCTATTTTAATATATTTATATTACTCACTTAGTATATATCATATAACTCTCGTGATTCAAATTTCTAGATTTCTAACTCACTAAATATCCTGATACATTATATCTTTGAATCTTCCTTCTGTTATTTTATTCACTTCTTGCTGTTAAACCATTTAATCATTCTGGCTTCAAAGGCTTTTCTTTCCTGGGTATTTTTACAGCATTAACAGCAAGAAGAGAGGACTAAATATTGATTTGGGATTCCTGTCCCACTACCAACACTTTACATGAACACTCTCCCAGTGTTCATGTGTACCAACACTTTAAAATGCATTCCTATATGCTTATTCTATCTATATACAAAGTACCATGTGTAGACCTATGCTTTCCCATACTCGTATGCATGAATGCTTATATATATTACTGTGCATTTATATTTGTGTATATGAGTCCATGTGCATGTATGTATATGTGTTTATGTATATGTATATATACATGTGTTTATGCGTTCACATATACATATTTCTGTGTGTGTGCATGTATAAAGTGTATCATCCTGTGCACTGTCTGCTTGTTTGTTTTTCTTTTCCCTCTCTCCCCCCTACTCTTCTCTTCAACAAGATATTTATGACCCTCTGCTAAGATGGTGTCTATTTTCTAACAAACCTGTGTCTTATCTACACTCATGTCGCTTTAACCCCTGTATCACAACTCAACTTTGAATTCTATGTGTCGTTTTGCTCAGAAATGCTTCAGACTTGAGAAAGGGAGGTTCTCCCGAAAGCTTGTCATTAAAAAATTCTGTTAGTCCAATAAAAAAGGTATTACAAGATAAGAATTTTATCTGTTTTTTACATCTACATCACTGGACTAATACGGCTACAATCTCTACTTGAACACTATATATATATATATATATATATATATATATATATATATATATAGTTAATACAATGATAAACAAAAATCTGCACTCCAGTCAAGCCATAAGACTTGCTTTTCCCACAGAAATCCCAAATCTGCAGTGATGTTACAACTGCAAAGGATTCTGGGTGGGAATATGCAAATTAGTTTAACAAAGAATCACATTTTTGCCTCATTCCATTTTCAACATGGATTCCTTTTAATCTGTGTTTGCAGTATACAACTGCTTTGAACACAATTTAGGTAAAGATGCAAGATTTTGCTTCCCAAGCACTACCAAGCCTCAATAAGCAAACCAGTAACCAACCTCATGCTGATGAGTTGCATTAACAACGAAACAGCTGTGCATGAGTGGTTCACTGGTTTTGCATCTTTTCATAAAATTGTGTTCCAAGCAGTTGGCACACCTGTCGTGCCAGGATTAGTTCCCACGGCGTTCAGCACAGCACGGGTCCTCACTTTACGGTTTTCTTTCGTTTTGCACGGTTATTTCGTTACCTTATACTCACCTAGCTGTTCATGTAAAATCTGTTGTTTAAAATCTGTTTTGGTTAAAATCTGTTCGGTTAAAACTACAAACGAAATACAATTTTTCGCCTACACACTGATCCCTACTGGTCTTTTGGTGTACTACAGGCTTCTTAGACATTATCGAATTTCATGTACAAACCAACGAACCACTGCATTTTCGCCTACACACTGACCCCTACTGGTCTTTTGGTGTACTACAGGCTTCTTAGACATTATCGCATTTCATGTACAAATCAATGAACCACTGCATTTGCGCCTACATGCTGACCCCTACCGGTAAATCGGTATACTACAGGCCTCTCAGACATTATTGCATTTCATGTACAAACCAACGAACCACTGCATTTTTCACCTACACACTGACCCCTATCGGTCATTCTGTGTACTACAGGCTTCTTAGACGTTTTTTGCATTTCATGTACAATCCAATAAACCACTGCATTTTCATCTACATACTGACCCCTACCGGTCATTTAGTGTACTACAAGCTTCTCAGACGTTATTGCATTTAATGTACAAACCAACTAACCACTTAATTTTCGCCTACATGCTGACCCCTACCGGTCAATCGGTATACTACAGGCTTCTCAGACTTTATTTCACTTCATAAGCAAACAAACTAACTACAGCATTTTCGCTTTTATACTGACTCCCATCTGACTCCCACGGTATACTACAGGCTTTTCAGACATATGGTTATTCCCCTCATAACATTCCCACTATAATTATAATTACACAATAACACTTCCTTACAACTCATGCTTGCTATGATATAATCATTCCTGCATACCTGCCTACACAGGCATTTAGTTACATTTACTGACAATACGCATACATTTACCCAAGAATGCATATACTATTTAGAGCACTATGCAGGATTCCAGAGTCTAATACGGAATATTTGCATGTTTGCACGCTTAAAATACAAGTCCTTCCAATTATGTATTTTCACATATTAGGTTATTCAGCTGCCAGTCATGGTTCACTACACTCATGTTTCGGGGTACAGTAGTATTCCATATCACACATGATATAACACTCCCGACAAGTTAATTTCCTTCAAACAGGGGCATTACAAGCATACAATAAACATTGGGACGGAGCACTTTGCTCTATTAAACTTGCATAACACACATATGGGTATACGCTTTTAAATGTCTATATTCAATTTTCATACATTGTTTTACCCGTCCGGGATACAAGTATTAATAATCCTTAGTACCAGTAAGGGTATCTAATCATACTACCAGGTACACCTGCTCATGTGGTATATACATACATTTTCTGTTTCCCCCTGGGTATATCCTTAGCGTACTGGCAATTGGGGACTATAGGTTTCCAATAGGTATTCTCCTTTCTTGGCATCTACGCCTGTCGTATAGTGGTCCGGAGAGGCCAACACCCCGCCTCAACGCTCGGAGGCAAACACCCATCGAGCCACTCATGAGCTAGCCTCCTTGCATGGTATATAGAGAGGGCCTCACCTGTCACTTCCTTTTAAAGGCCTTCCATACAGGTATTGCCATATACTTTTGGGGGAATCTAGAATGACCTAACTTGCAGTCATCACAGCAGCATCCAACAGCTGGCATTACTCTCATGGCCCAAGAAATGGCAGAAAGATTTCTACCTGGGCCTCTCCGATCTACACCATTTACAGCGTGGCGCAATCACATTGGGATTGTCACAGGGAATCTTTCCTCACACTGTAACTGATCATAGACTTATCTGCACCTCACGCCTCGGCTACCCCAAGTCTCAACTCCCTCCGAGGAGTTTTTATTACAGTATGCCACCATTGTTCATACCATTACAGTTATCACTCGAGCAGGGGGGAAGCCTGGTTAAGTAAAACTGATATCACAAACGCCTTTCAGACTGCCACCATCCACCCTACACTGGCACTTACAGGGCATTTATGGGCAGCAGCTATATATTTCTTCTCCCGCTTAACTTTCAGGTCAAGAGCAGCCCACAATCTTCAATATATTTGTTGAACTCTTTGCTGGTTGTGGTTAAACATATCCAGGTGCCCCACAGTCATACCATTCCTGTTGGTCAAAGGGAACGCCTTTCCCTCTAGAAGCTTCAAGGAAGCCATTGGTATGTCTGAACACTTGAGTGTCCCAGTATTCCCTAAGGTCACAGAAGACCCAGACACTATCGTTACATTCCTGGGCATACAACTTGACCCTGCATCCATGCCAACAATTTACCACGTGAGAAATAGGAACAGTTGCAACAACACCAATTACCACCTCCTGCTTGGTAATTGCAACCGCATGGAACTACAATCCCTAACAGGTTCCTTAAATTTTGCCATGCGCATCATACCGCAGGCCATGCTTTCATCTAAGACCACTTTGCTTTTTCCACACTCCCGCATGATGATCAGGGGCTGTCCCTTGACAACCAAGCCACGGCAGACCTACAAATATGGTGGACTTTCTTAACCACACGTAATGGTAAACTATTGTGACAGCCGCCATGGCAGGGGGTCATTTATGGTCAAGGTCATGGATTATATGAACCTCGCCAACATAGCCGGGCTCTGACTAAACTGGCCTTGTCCACCAGTACTCAACACACTTGCTACAGGGTTTTCCACTTATACAATACGTTTCATGTCGGACCATCACTTAGATAGCTGGTTTGAGGTTTCACCACTTATTGCCTTCGCCTCTTTTTGCCACCTTAAAGGACCACTATAGTGCCAGGAAAACATACTCGTTTTCCTGGCACTATAGTGCCCTGAGGGTGCCCCCACCCTTAGGGTCCCCTTCCCGCCGGGCTCTGGGAAGAGGAAGGGGTTAAACTTAGCTCTTTCTCCAGCTCCGGGCGAGGAGCTCTCCTCTCCGCCTCCTCTCCTCCTCTTCGGCTGAATGCGCATGCGCGGCAGGAGCTACGCGCGCATTCAGCCTGTCTCATAGGAAAGCATTCACAATGAGACAGCCACTAGAGGCTTTAGAGGCTGGATTAACCCATTTATAAACATAGTTTCTCTGAAACTGCTATGTTTATTAAAAAAAAAGGGTTACTCCTAGAGGGACCTGGTACCCAGACCACTTCATTAAGCCTAGAGTGGTCCTTTAAGTTAAAAATTCTCGCACAACATGGTTAAACTTATCTCACGGGCATTCATTACTATACGTATTTCTCCTTCCCAAACAACAAGGGTTCCTATCCTCCTACCCTATCCATACCTTACTTAGAGACATAGCCAAGCGGACATTCCTGCTAAAACTAAATAGTGGCCATAGACATACAATGTTCAAACCATGTCAGAACCACTCGACCATGCACCTTCCGAGCCACGCACCAATGCAGTTATCAAAACTGCTACCTAGCTAGCCTTTAACAGCTTTCTCAGGCCAAAAAAAAAAAAAATAACTCACTATCAGCGGTCAACATCATAAACAAGAGTGCCTGTTGACCTATTATCTTCTAAAACACACAGACCACTATGTCCGGTCCCTTCCTAAAACTAAGACGAGTCAGATGGGCGAGCCAGTGCATATAACCTACTACCTTACAAGCAATTCAGGAATTAGGAAGCTTTCATTAAAATGTCTACCTGATGGTTAACAAATGCACTATGATCCTGTGTAATGTTTTGCATTAATATGTCTCTTTTTGCCCACTTTTTACCGGCCTACAGCATACGTCGGTTTAGGCACACCTCAACCGATTATTCCTAAAGCTACATCTCTACAACTCATCTAGTAGCTATATCATATGAGAATGCCCCGAACACAAATTGGAAGGCATGGCCAGTAGTTGTGGAAGGGGCTATAGACCTATAAAAGGGTCTTTCCCTACTTACCTTTGTTGGTCAGACGAATAGCCCCACCCTCCACTCCCATTGTTCATATTTCTTCTATGTAAGCCCACTTTTTACCGGCCTACAGCATACGTTTCGGCACACCTCAACCGATTATTCCTAAAGCTACATCTCTACAACCCATCTTATTCTATATCATATGAGAACGCCCCGAACACAAATATATATATATATATATATATATATATAAATATTAAAATACACTTTTATTAATGATGTATGTATGTGTATATATGATCTAAGTACTTTTCATTTAATTTAAAAACTGTTTTATAACATTTTTTACTTTAAAAAAATTTTTTACAGGCATGAGGGGGACTGCATGATAGTTAAGACATCACTACTGCAGTTTTCATAGTTGTCACCCTAAAGGTTAGCAGGTCAAAGTTAAAAAATGTTTCTCTTCCACAGATCGTTGTTTCTTTCTTTGCATATATGGGTTAACTTCTCTTCAACATATTTATAAGTATCCTATAAAACACAAAAATAAATGCAGTATCAATGTAATGGCTTAACACTCATTATTTTTTTTATTTTTTTAAATTCTTTATTTTTCGCTCTGCCAGTCAAGCATGGTTACAATAGTGCAAACAGAGGTGGATACATGACCGTACAAGTTTTGTTGGTTTGTAGTACAGAATACAGGGTAACATAGTTAGTACGGGCATCGGTCACAAACTGTGCACCTTGGGTGCGTCTCCGCCAGAGTTTTTCGTTTGTGTTGGTAAGCAGATAAAGAGAGATGAAAAGAAATAAAAGAAAAAAAGAAAGAAGTAACTATGTACAATGGTAGAATTATTGAGGAGTGTGCTGTGCCATGAACTCTCAGGATGGCTGTTATGAGTGTGTTGCGTTGTCTTGGCCTAGGCATATGTGTGAGGTATCCTGAGCTTGCCCAGGTAGGTCAGGCATTGTGCCCACCCCGTCTGCCCTGCCCCTGCCGCCCTCTGTGTGCTGTCATTCCGCTAGGCATGTAATCAGGCAGTGTCTGACAGTGTTGGAGCTTTTCTCTCCTCCTGTTTGTTTACATGGTCTGGTGTGTTTACAAGAGATAAAAGCATATAAGGAAAGGATAGATTGATATAGACAAGTAGAGATTTCAGTGTGTTAAATTACGGAAAGGAGGTGATCTCCTGGGCACCGTGAACCCTGTGCCGCCCGCCCCAGTGGGCCACGGCCCTCGTTCCGGCTTTAACCAGATACCCATCCTGCAGTGGAGCCGCTTCCACCCGTCCGGGTTATGGTATGATGGCGACCACTGGGTGAGCCCCAGTTGTCGCTACTGAATTGTGCCGCGCGGATGCCGCCCCGCGCCCCAGACCCTGAGTCTATGTGTCGTATTGCTCCCATGGACCCCACACCTTGTGAAATGTGGTCAACGTGTTCCGCACTTGGGCCGTGAGTTTATCCATCAGATAATTATAGCGCAGTTTTGTCCAAGGACAGCTGCGGGAGGTCCGGGCAGGACCAGTGTTGTGCCACGGCCCTGCGGGCCGCTTAGTAGATCATGTTGAAGAGTTTTTGTTCGTGTCTTGGGAGGCCCTCCGTAGGTCTGGATAAAAGGCACGTCCATGGATCTAGTGTCATCCGTTTTTGTAAGATTTGGGAGCTGAAGTTTACTATGCTGCACCAGTAGGTCACCACCTTTGGGCATTCCCACCACATGTGTATGTAGGTGCCCTTCCCCCCACATAAGTGCCAGCAATCATCTGTAGGACGCAATTTCATGTGTTTTTGCTTCCAACGGAATAGCGTTTTATATGATTGTTCTTGGAGTGTTACGCATATAATGGTTTTGGTGCATGCTTCCCAAATGTCCTGCCACTCCGTTCCCTCTAGGGCCTCCCCCAGGTCGGCTTCCCACTGGTCAGCGTATCGGAGTGCGCCCGTCGTGTCTGGGGTCGTGTTGAGGTGGTTGTATAGTAATGTAATTAGCTTGGATTGTGTAGTCTCCGTATAGCATAGTCTCTCGAAAAAGGTTAGAGGTGTCAGGGCTGCCTTTTTGACGTCAGGGCTCTGTGCAAAGTCTCGGATTTGCAGGTACCTGAAATAGTCTCTAGTTTGCAGTGTGGCTTTGGTGTTCAGGTGTGCGTATGTGACTATTTCCTGGTTTATGAATAGGTGGACATATCTTTGGAGCCCAGTGGCTTCTATCCCTTTGTAGTCCCGGGCCCTCATTCCCAGTGGGAATGCCCTATTCCGAAAGACCGGTGTCATGGGAGACAGAGGGGGGCTCAATGAGTATTTCATTTTAGTTTGGTCCCATATCCTTATGGAGTTCAGTATGGCCGGATTTGTGGTTCTCAACATGGCCCTTTGTGTTTTTGGTGCCCATATGAAGAATTGTGGGAGGTCCTGTCTCGTCATTAGTGACTCCATGTCGACCCAGCGTCGTGTATCAGGGGGCGTGTGCCATTGTATGATCTGGGCTAGCTGTGCCGCTAGGTAATAATTATATACATTAGGTAGTCCCAGTCCCCCCCTGGTTTTGGTCTGTACATGAGGGTGCGTGCCATTCTCGGGCGTTTGTTGTGCCAAATGAAGGAGTCGATTGCCCGCTGTATGCCCGTCAGGTCCCCCCAGGACACTTGCACCGGGAGTGCCTGAAAGAGGAACAGGAGCCTCGGCAGCACATTCATTTTTATTGTGTTGACCCGTCCCAGCCAGGATATGGGCCTATGTGTCCACTGCTCCATTTCCGTGATCAGGGTCCGGAGCAGTGGTTTGTAATTGCGGGCATAGAGCGACGATGTGGGTGCCGTTAGGCGGACCCCTAGGTACATGAATTCCTCTGTGGTTATTTTTAAGCAGTATTGTTTGCGTATGTGCTCTATGTCTTGGGGCTGTATATGGAAGGGCATTGCTACTGACTTGGAGTAGTTGATTTTGTAGCCTGCGATGTTCCCAAATCTTGCTAATAGTTGTGTCAGGTGGTGTAGGGAGTCCAGTGGGTCCCGGAGTGTTAGCATAACATCGTCGGCATATGCTGAGACTGTGAGTGGTGTGCCGCCTACCTCTATTCCCTGAATGTGTGGGTGTTGCCTGATAGCTTGTAATAGCGGCTCTAGGGTTAGGGCGAAGAGCAAAGGGGACAAAGGGCATCCCTGTCTAGTGTCATTGCTAAG